AATATAAAAATAATAATAGTAAAAAAAAAAGATTCATTATTCCTGTTGAGCCGAGATGAAACAATTCCCTGGAATTAACGAGGCTCCTCTTGGCCAGCCGGGGTTCTGCTCCAATGAAAGTTTTTACTGTTGCCCAGAAAAGCCAAAAAACCCCCAAAATTAAATCCCCCAGGGGTGAGAGCGGGGCTGCACTTGGGGCTCTCCAAGAGGCGCCCCCAAACCCATCCCGATCCTCCCAGCATTCCCAAACCCTGCATGGGCAATGCCAGGCACAAACCTGGGATGCTCCGGGCTCAGCAGGATCAGGGAGGCTCATCCCACATGGGTGGGAACAGAGGAGAGGATTTAGGGCAAACCCAACCCCCTGAGCAGGGTGGGAGACGGGACAAGAGCCTGGAATGTCAGGGGACAGCCCTGGGGACAGGAGGGGCAATGCCAGGGACAGGAATCCAGGGAAAAGGGGATTTTGGTGGGTGGATCACGGAATCCTGGCATGGTTTGGGTTGGAAGGGACATAGCAGGGACAGCTCCCACTGTCCCACGGTGTTCCTTGGGCAGTGCCAGGGCTCCAGGGGCAGCCACAGCTCCTCTGGGAATTCCACCCCAGCCCTCCCCATCCTCCCAGGGAACAATCCCTAATTCCCAAAATCCCATCCCTCCTGCCCTCTGGAGCGGGAAGCCATTCCCTGCGTCCCGTCCCGTGTCCCCAGTGCCACCAACCCTCCGTGCCAGCCCCAGTTCGGATTTTTCCAGCAGGGTTGGGATTTTTCCTGTTTTTTTTTTTTTTTTTTTTTTTTTCCTGCTGTTTTGCTTTCCTCCCCGGCTCTGCTTGTTGATATTTTTATATTTTTCATTTTGGATGAAGCCAAAGGGGTTTTGCCCCTTCCCCGCGGTTTTCCAGCGGGATCCCGGGCAGAGCGGCACGGTGAGGATGAGGATGCGAGGGCAGGCACGGCAGGGCCGGGGGAGCCTCTGGAGGCGATGCCACCTCCGGAGCCCCAACAAAGCGGCGCGGCCCCGCACAATCGTTCATTACGGCTCAATTACTGTAATTAAAGCTGCAGAGGCAGAGCCGCCGAGGGGAGCGGTGCCAGCAGCAGCGGCAGCGGCAGCTGAGGGGGTCCCCGAGCGCCGCCACCATCTGTCCCCAAGGCGGGGGTGGCACCCGGGAAACCGGGCTGGGGACGGAGGGGAGGGATGGGAAAGGGATGGGGAGGATGGGGAGGGGATGGGAAAGGGATTGGTAGGGATGGAAAGAATGGGAAGGGGATGAGGAGGGGATGGAAGGGTTGGGGAGCAATGGGAAAAGTTTGGAAGGGAATGGGAAGGGGAAGGGAAGGGGATGGGAAGGAATGGGAAGGGTGGGAAGGGATGGGAAAGGGGATCCTGTTATCCTGGATTCCTTGGTGGGCAGGTTGTGTGGATGTGCCTGGGCACAGCTGGATGTGCTCTGCTTTTTTGCTGGGCTGGGCATGGCACAGCATGGAACAGGACACAGAACCTGGCACGGGACACACAGCATGGAATGGGACAAAGAACATGGCATGGGACACGGAACATGGCACGGGACACGGAACATCATGTCACAGAATGGGACGGACACAGAACATGGCATGGGACACAGAATGTGGCACAGGACACAGGGCATGGAATGGGACATGGAATGAGGCATGGGGTGGGACACAGAACATGGCATAGAACACAGAACGTGGCATGGAATGGAACACAGAACATGGCATGGGACACAGAATATGGCACAGGATGGGACACAGAACATGGCATGGGACACAACATGGAATGAGACACAGAACATGGCACAGGACACAGAACATGGCACGGGACACAGAATGTGGCATGGCCCAGCACAGTTCTGCTTTCCCAATGCTCCCCTTCAGGGACACAGCCCCAGCCTGGGAAAAGCCATTTTGACACTCCAGGCCCAAATCCCTGCCTGTCTCCACGGGAGCCCTTCCGTGCAGGAATCCCACGCTCACACAAGGAAATCCCAAACAAGAGGAGGGCAATGCCACCCAAAACTGCCGCGTGCCAGGCTGCCACCTTCACATCCTCAGGATCCTGGGCAATCCATTCCCACGTGGTTTTTCGGCCATTTCCAGCTCTGCCTTTCCTGGCAGCGTGGGCCAAGCCTGACCTGAGAGCACCTTTAAAAAGCCCTCATGGATCGATAATTTAAAATTTCAGCATGGGTGGGAATAATTGAATTATAAAATTTGGGAGCTGAGTGGGAGAGCCCAGCAGCTCCTCCCCAGCAGAATCCACGCCATGGAATGCCAAGGGCAGCTGGGGAGGGATGGGAATCCCTTCCTGCCCTTTGCTGGGCAGGGCTGGAAGCGCAGCCAGAGCCACTCAGGGCTCCCTCCCCATCTCCCAACAGAGCGCTCCTCGCCATTCCGACCTTTGAATGGTCCCCGTGGCAGCCCCAGCCTGCAGCGGGATGGAGATGTGGAAATGCACTCCCGAGCACTTCCCTGCCCATTATCCATGGGGGCGGGCAGAGGCTGCTCCTGCCTCCATCCCTGCATCCCTGCATCCCTGCCTCTCTCGCAGCAGGCGCTGTCAGCTCGGATCCATCACGGGGGCCCCGCAGGACGCTCCGGCCGCCCCGCTCAGGGCAGGGCTTTGTCTGCAGCAGGGAGCTCGGGAATGGCGCCGGCAGCGGGAGGCACTGCCCGGGGCAGGATTCCCGGTCCCAGCCCTCTCCTGCATCCCCAATCCCGGCAGGAAGGAGCAAAGCGCCAGCGTGCTGGAAGGGAGGGATGGGCTTTGGGATCCCACGGCATGGGGGAGATGCCGAGGGCTGGGAATTCCTCCCATCATCCATCCTGGGCTCCATCCCACCTCCAGCATCACCCCCAAACTCGGGGGTCCCTGTCAGGGCTGTCCTGTGCCCCCCAACCCTCCCCTCTCCTGCCTTTCCCACCCCTCAGTGAAATTCCATGGATCAGAGGGTTTAGAGACACTTTGCTTGCGGTTGAGCTTCAGTACATTGACTTTTTATTCTTTTTTTTTTTTTTTTTTTCTCTTTTTGGCCCTTTTTTACAAAAACCAGTGGTAGTTATTAACAGCTGTACAGATTCTGCTACATACTTTGGTGTGAAGTTGAGAGCCTGGCTCCGGGCGGCTCCGGACCGCGCAATTCCTGCATTTCACTCCTGCCATTCCGGGGGGAAAATCCGAGCTGCAGGGCCCTAAAGGGAGCCTGGGGGACACGAGCTGGGGGTGGCCCATGCCAGGGGGGCCCTGGGCACAGGGCAGAGCCCCCCAGCCCTTCCCAGCACAGCCCCATCCGTGCGGAGCCGGGAATGCCGTGCCCAGGGTCAGGGTGCAGAAAGGGGCAGAGCTGCCCCCACAATCCCAAAAACCAACCCCAAAACACCCCTGGGACACCCCTGGACCCCTCCAAGGCTCTGCTGGCCCCAGGGGAGTGGTTAATCTGAGCCAAATCACCCTAAAATGCCTTTCCCTAAAAGCAGCTTTAGAGAACTTCTCCTTCCTTGGATCACCAGTGCCCCGAACCGATCCCACCCTCCCACGGAGCCACCCCCGGTCTGGAACATCCCCCAGGTCAGCTCAGAACCCTCTCACGGCGATGGGAACGCCAGAGAGGAGAGCAGGAGAGCTCTGCTCCTCCTGCCCAGCTCCTCTGCCCGCCCTGGGAGCCGCCGGAGGGATGGGAAGGGATGGGAAGGGATGGGCGCTCCTGGGAGCGCTGCAGTTCCAGGTCCCACCTCTCCATCCTCCTTCCCCTCCAAACCATTCTCCCCTCAACCCCTCAACAAAAAAACCATTTGTTTTCTTTTACCTTTTGGACCAGATCCAACTCGCCAAAAATAATCCATAAAAACGTGGTATAAAAATCCTCTGCCGTGTGCTACGATACAGGTGAGCACTTCTGCTACACAAATACTTTTATTTTCCCGTTAGGTCTTCGTTTTGCTTTTTTTTGTCTTTTTTTTTTTTTTGTCCTTTTTGGAACCCTTTAGTACAAAAGGCCTGTGGGGGGAGGGAGTTGCTCCATAAAACCAGAAGACACAAGACCATAAAGCCCACAAGGACCACAAACAGCCCCCCACCACACACAAACCCTACTTGTTAGTAAACTTTTCGCTTTTAAAAAAAACTGTATTTTTTTTGTCTTTTTTTTTTTCCAAGGTTATCAATTCTAATTCTTTACTTTCATTTGAATACAAAACACATAAGTTTGCTATTATCTTTCGTGGCTCCCTGAGCTGAATTTTCTAAGCTTTCTTTGAAATCACTCCTCATTTGCTTCTGTCCGAAGACCAAGAAGGGCTTGCGTGGGCTTCCCCTTTTCTTCAAACATCCAAGCACGGAAAAAAAAAAAAAAAAAGGATAAATCCATAAATCCATCTATAAAAAACAAACCCCAAGGTGATTGTGTTGATGTCCCGTCAGTAGCTGAGGATCCGAGCGATTCCCCACCATCACTAACACACGACGCACGACAGGAGGAACAACTTTTCACCAGTGGACATCTCTGCTCAGCCTGGATGGCAAAGTCCCCATGGACACTTCCGGAGGGGGGAAGGAAAAGGGGGGAAAAACCCCCAAAAACAAAAAAAAAAAACAAAAACAAAAAAACCAACCAAAAAAACCCCCAGAATAAAATTGCCACCACCAAAACCATCAGTGGAATACAATTACAGCAGACAAAAATACACAACTAAGTGTACTGGGAGGGTCCCCCCTTCCCACGCTATTTCCTAGTCCAGTATTTACATTTTTCACAAGTCTTATGCAGGATGATGCACAAAAAAAAAGTCCCAATAAAAAAATGAGTCCTTTATAGTGCCACCAAAGCCAGACGGAAAGAACCGGAAAACCAAAAAAAAAAAAAAAAATCAAAAGGAACCCCAAAACCTTAAAACCAAATAAAAATCCGTTTAGGGCTTCCATGTGTGCCAGAGTTGTTGCAGATCTCCAAATAAATCCGAGTGTGGCGGGCGCCGGGCGGAGCTGGGCCGGCCGGGGCCTCCCTGGGCGTTCCCGGAGCGTTGCGAGGGCTGCACGTCCCAGCATCAGTAGATGACCTCGTAGACCGTGGCCTTCTTGTCCCCAGAGCCCGTGACGATGTACTTGTCATCCGCTGAGATGTCACAGCTCAGCACGGACGAGGATTCCTTGGACTGCGGAAAGCAGAGAGAAACCATCAGGGTGGAGGAGAAACCAGCAGGGTGGGACAGACAGAACCCATCCAGGTGGGGGAGAACTCATCAGGGTGGGACAGAGAGAACCCATTAGGGTGAGGGACAGAACTCATCAGGGTGGGACAGAGAGAACCCATTAGGGTGAGGGACAGAACTCATCAGGGTGGGACAGAGGCAGAATCCAGCAAGGTCGGGGAGAACTCATCAGGGTGGGAGAGAGAGAACCCAGCATGGTGGGACATAGAATCCAGCAAGGTGGGATAGAGAGAGAAAACCCAGGAAGGTGGGAGAGAGCAAACCCATCAGGGTAGGAGAGAAAACCCAGCAGGGTTGGGGACAGAGAGAACCCATCAGGGTGGGAGACAGAACCCAGCAGGGTGAAACAGAGAATGCAGCAAGGTGGGATAGAGAGAGAAAACCCAACAGGGTGAGAGAGAGAGAACCCAGCAGGGTTGGGAACAGAGAGAACCCAGCAGGATGGGAGAGACAGAGAGAACCCAGCAGGGTTGGGGACAGACAGACAGAACCCAGCAGGCTCGAGGTGAGACAGAACCCATCAGGGTGGGACAGAGAGACAGAACCCAGCAGAGTTGGGGACAGACAGACAGAACCCAGCAGGGTGGGATGGACGCTCCATGCTCCCATCCATGCTGGTGTCAGCACCACATCCCGCACCTGACACCCATCCAGCCACCCCAAAGCATCCCCATTCCCTCTCTCCAGGAATGGGAACCTGGGAGCAGCCCCCAGCCCGTGCCCTTCCCAGGCTCTCCCACCTGGAAGATGCTGGCTCCGTAGGGCGTCCTCCAGGCGTTGAGCAGGTTGTCCTTCCCAGTGCTCACAAACCACTTCCCTGCGTTGGGAATTTGGGATCAGCAGCCGAACCCTGCTGCTGCCACCTCCCCAACCCTGCCCTGTCCCCTCAAGTCTGTCTGAGCCCAGAGATTTGGGAGAAATGGGAAAACCTGGAGGTTCCTGGGGAGTCCTGCCCAGCCCTACTCTGCTGGGACAATCCAAGTGCTGCCTCCCACCTCAGTGGTGCTCCATGGCTGGCTGCAGCCAAAATCAGGATGGGTTTATTGGAATAAACCCTGCCAAAACCAGGATGGGATCATGGGAATAACCCTGCCAAAATCAGGATGGGTTTACAGGAATAACCCCCACCACAGCCAGGATGGGTTTATGGGAATCACCCAGGGAATAAACCCTGCCAAAACCAGGATGGGGCTATGGGAATAACCCCTGCCAAAATGAGGACGAGTTTATGGGAATAGACCCTGCCAAAACCAGGATGGGTTTATAGGAATAACCCCCACCACAACTGGGATGGGTTTATGGGAATAAACCCCAAGTGCAGCATCCATGGGATGGATCCTGCTGGAAACATCCATGCTCAGCCCCTCTAGCTGCATTGAGCATGGTCCCTTCCTGCAGTTCATGGCCATCCCTGCCTCCCACCCCTGGAAGTGTCCCAGGCCAGGCTGGATGGGGCTTGGAGCACCCTGGGATGGCGAGAGGTGTCCCAGTTTAAGGTTCCTTCCAACCGCAAACATTCCATGATTCCACGATCCCCACCCATGAGGATCTCCTGGGGTGGGGTCGGGTGGGAGGTGCCCCAGGGATGAGCTTCAAGGTCTCTCCCAACACAAGCCAACACATTCCAGGAGCTCAGGATGCCCATCTCTCCCATGCCAGCCCAGCCCAGGACTGCAGGGTGCCCGTCCCTGCCCTGCTGCTCACCGCAGTAGGCGAATTTGAGGGAGAGCACGCAGCTCTCGTGCAGGTGCAGCTGGTACTTGTCGGGCTTGGTGTGGTGCAGCACCTCCACGTTGCTGCTCTCCATGCCCACCGCCAGCCACTCGCCCGTCGGGCAGTATCCCAGGGAGAAGATCTGCGGGTGGAAGTGGGATATGGGGAGATCAGCGGGAATTCCTGGGCCCCTACAGAAGGGTGGGATGAGAGGTCTTCAAGGTGCCTCTCCCAGCCCAACCATTCTGGGATCTGCTGGAGCTGCTGGCCAGCCCCAGGTGGATGGAGCAGGTGGCGAGAGGCAGATCCCTGGGCTGGGATGGCTCCATCCCCACGGATATTGCTGCCCTTGCCAATGGACACGAGGTCCCAGCTCTGCCCCTCCGGATGAGGCTCTCCTGGGAGGAGGCAGGATCCTCATCTCTGATCCCTGCTCTCATCCCACCCAAGGGCACCCAGAGAACGCTGTGACATCCATGGGCATCCCATGAAAAGATCTGCTTCCTCAACAGCAGCCTCATCCCGCAAGGATGGAAAAGAGGAGCTGGCACAAGATCCAGGCAGCCCCAGCATTCCCGGGCCACCCCGAAACCAGTGGGAACAGCCACGCTCGGAGCTCCCAGGGCCGTTTTCCCAGCAGGAAAAGCCCCTCCAAGGAGCCAGGGGCCTCACAGGACGGATCCCTGCCCCCTGTACCCCTGTGTCCCCTGCTCACCTGGGAGGTGAAGTCGTGCTGCTGCAGCTGCCGCCCTTCCCGCAGGTCCCAGGAGCGCACCGTGTTGTCCAGGCCCCCCGTCCACAGCTTCGTACCATCGTGGGAGATGTCTATGCAGCTGGCCCCGTCCGTGTGCCCTTGGAATTGCCTTGGGAGCAGAAAAAATCATGGAATTCTGAAAGGGCACAGAGCTGCGTTCAAGGTGCTCAGATGATGTTTATGTGGCTCGTCCACAGCAAACATTCCTGGAAATCCATCCAGGAGCATCCAGGGCTGATGAGCACCAGCCTGGCCAAGGACTGGGCTGGTTTAGGGATGAGCACCAGGAGATGGTGCAGCAACACCAGAGGGTGTTCCTGGCTCCAGCCCCAAGGGGATGGGGGACTCCTCATCCCTGGAATTTTAAGGCCAGGTTGGACGGGGCTTGGAGCAACCTGGGATAATGGAAGGTGGTTTTGCCCAAGGAAAAGAGGAAAGGGACATTGATGGGGGGAAGAGGAAAAGGGACCATGATGGGGAGGAGAGGAAAGAGATGGCAATGGGGTGGGGAAAGAGGAAAAGAGACATCGATGGAAGGAAGAGGAAAAGGGATGTTGACAAAAGAAGAGGAAAAGAGATGTTGACAGAAAGAAGAGGAAAAGGGACATTGACAAAAAGAAGAGGAAAAGAGACACTGATGGAAGGAAGAGGAAAAGGAATATTGACAAAAGGAAGTGGGACACTGACAAAGGGAAAAGGTATGTTGATGTAAGAGGAAAAGGGACACTGACAAACGGAAAACTGACAAACGGAAAACTGACAAACGGAAAAGAGATGTTGAGAAAAAGAAGCGGGAAAGAGACATTGATGGAAGGAAGAGGAAAAGGGACACCGACAAAAGGAAGAGGAAAAGGGACGTTGTGGAGGAAGGGGTAAAGGAACACTGGCAAAAACAGAAGAAAAGGAACATTGTAGGGAAAGAGGAAAGGGAACAGGAACACCAACAGAAGACAAAAAGGAACATGATGGGATAAAAACAACCTTTAACAACCCGAGCAGCAGGACCCGTCGGGGCTCACCTGACGAGGGTCTGGTTGTGCAGGTCCCAGACGGCGATGTTGCCGTCGCTGCAGCACGAGAAGCACACCTTGGCGTCGGGGCTGATGGCCAGCGCGTAGCAGGCGGGCGCCGAGGACGTCAGCTCGGCCTTGATGCGCGGCGTGGGCGACGCCAGGTCCCAGATGGTCAGCGTGCTGGCCTCGCCCCCCACGATCAGCGTGCGGCCGTCCGGCAGCAGCTTGCAGGAGCGGATGTAGTTATCCCTGTTCTGGGGACACAAGGGACCGTCAGGGACAAAAGGAAGAGGAAAAGGGGAGTGGAGAGGGAAAAGGAAAGGGAGCGCAAGGGGGTGGGAAAAGAGGAACAGGGACGTTGACAGGGGAAAGAGGAAAAGGGACATTGGTGGGGAGAAGAGCAAAAGGGATGTTGGTGGGGAAAGAGGAAAAGGGATGTTTGATGGGGAAAGAGAAAAAGGGATGTTTCATTAGCTAAGAGGAAAAGGGTCGTTGATGGGGAGAAGGGGAAAAGGGACGTTGACAGGGAGAAGGGGAACAGGGATGCTGATGGGGAAAGAGGAAAAGGGACATTGTTGGTGAGGAAAGAGGAAAAGGGACGTTTGATGGGGAAAGAGTAAAAGGGATGCTGATGTGGAGAGAGAAAAAGGGACATTGATGGGGAGAAGAGCAGGGATGTTGATGGGGAAAGAGTAAAAGCGAAATTTAAAGGTAGAAAGAGAGATAACGAGAAGAGGAATAAGACAGTAACAGAAGACAAGGAGTTGGCAATGAGGAAGAGCAACAGGATGTTAAGGGCGGAAGAAGAAAGGGAGGGCAGTGGGGCAAAGAGGAAACATAGATGGCAATGTGGGGAAGAGATGCTGGTGTTAACGGGGCAAAGATGATTAGCAGCATCAGAGGCGGGTGGGCACAGGGGACACAGCCCTGGGGACAGCAGCAGCCCCAGCACGGGGGCTCCGGCCCTCACCAGGCAGTCCAGCTGTGAGATGGGGCTCTTGCTGCCGGGCTGGCTGATGTCCCAGATCTTGACGCAGCCCTTGCCGCCGGTGTAGACGTGGCGGGTGGGGTTGCTGATGGTGACGGCGCACACCACCTCGCCGTGGCTCAGCGTGTTGATCTGCCGCGCGTGCCGCGGGATGCCCGGCCCCGCCAGCGCGTCGTGCGGGAACGGCACCGGCTGCATCTGCCCGTCCGCGCTCACGTGGAACGAGTACGCCCTGCCGGGGTGGGAAAGGGGCTCAGCGCCAGGGATGGGGCTCCTGGGGCTGTCACACCGTGCTCACAGCGCCAGCCCTGGGTGAAGGCTGCCCTCGTCTCCCTCCCGGCCGCTCGTCCCCTCCGATCCCACAATAATCCAAGCGGGACTTACGGTTTCCCTCCGGGGATGGACGCCAGGCTGGAGGGCAGGCCCGGGGCTCGCATGGGTGGGTGAGGGTCAAACCCGACCTGCCAAGAGATGCACGGACACGGGTGAGGCCGGGAATGCCACACAGCTTCCCATCCATGACCCCTGGGGACACTGGGCAGCTCCTGCTCTTCCCCTGCTGCTCAAAGCTAACTGGCATTTCCCCCTGGCAGGAAGGGGAACCAGCCAAAGGGGTCTGCAAGAACCAGGTGGGACACGCTCCCTCTCCCTGTGTTGTTCCCAAGCCCCCAGGGATGGGATCAACCACATTGTGCCCGGCACCCCGAGGGCAGAAACCCCAATCTCTGCTTCAGTGGCAATGTTTCACTCCTTGTTCTGCCTTAAAACAGGAGTTTAGTGGGAGGAATGGGAAGGGGCTTGAGGAATGGGATAAGGGGCCAAGGAATGGGATAAGGGGCCAGGGAAGGGGAAGGAGAAACCCCAACCCAGTGGCACATGCACATCACCCCACGAAGAAGCATCTCCATCCCCACCCCTTCAATCCAACACTCAGCTGGCTCTGAGGAGCAGCCCCAGCCTCCCAGCCCCCAGGAGCCCCCCCAGGCCTCCCCCCAGCGAGAAAGGAGCTAAAAGTGCTACGTACAGCTCCAAAGCTCACCATTGGCGACCGGCCGTAGGCGGCAGCGGCGGCGGCGGCCGCGCTCATCTGCGGGGGGAGGTTGTGCAGCCCCGCGTAGGCGCCGGGGCTCGTCAGGGACCCGTTCATCTCGTGGTGCCCCATCATGGCAAAGGGCGCCGCGTACGAGCCCGCGATGGAGATGGGCGTCCGCAGGGCCGAGGCTGCCAGAGGGGGAACAGCGTCAGGACTGGGGACAGGGGAAGGGCTGGGGACAGGGGCAGGGCATGGCTGGGACGTGGGCAGGGCTGGGGACACACGGGCAGGGAGCAGAGCAGAGCACAGCCACAGAAAAACCCAACACCACGGAGTCCAATCCCTGGCCCAACACCACCTTCCTCCCATCCCAAAGCACTGAGTGCCACATCCCTGGATGCCTCCAGGGATGAGGTCTCCACCACCTCTCCCCGGATACCCTTTTCTCAAAGAAATTCCTCCCGATGTCCAACCTGAACTTCCTCTAGCACAGCTTGAGTCTGCGTCTCCTCATCCCAACACTGCTCACTTCGTGACCAGACCTCCCTCCTCACCCCATTGGATTAGGTCCCCATAAACCTCATCCCTCATAATCATGACACCCCATAAAAGCAATCCCCCAGAGCTGCCGTTCCCCATGGACAGGGACGAGCTGAAGCTGTGCTGGGGACACTGGTGACACCATGGTGACACCGGCACCCACCCGGGGGGGGTCCCCCGTAAACCTCCTCCCCCATAAACCTGACTCCCCATAAATGCAATCCCCCCAGAGCTGCTGCTCCCCGTGGACAGGGACGAGTCGAAGCTGTGCTGGGGACACTGGTGACACTGGTACCCACCCAGGGGGTCCATGCCGCTGGGTTTGCCGGGCATGGGCCGCAGCCCCGGGGTGCTGCTGGTGCCCGGGGTGGGAGCGTCGTTCCTGGGCGTCGGAGTGTTGGACTTGAGGCCGGGCGTGGAGGATTTGTCGTTCTGGGGGGAGAAGGGACGGAGAAGGAGGGGTGAGCTCCAGCTGCTGGGAGCCACAGCCTGCCCCAGGCACCCCAGAGGGGACGTACGTGGCCCAGGTCCTTGGTCTTGGAGGAGGGAGTGCTGCTGGAGGAGGCCACCGAGGCCGGGCTGTTGGGAGCGTCGCCCTTCTTCAGCCCGCGCGCTTTGTCCAGGCCGTTCTCCGGGGGGGAATGGGCCGGGCTCACCCGGGGGGTGGCAGGGTCCTGGGAGGGGGGAAAAGCCTTGGAATTGCCACAGGGGGAAGGAAGGGCTCCCTCCTTCCCTCCTGGCTTCCCCTTGAGGCCGGTCACCTCCCGCATGCCAAAGCCAGAGCTCACCTCATTGGAGACATCGACCACCAGGTCATCGCTCTTGTCACCATCGCTGTCCTGGAACACAAAGCGTGTCACACCCCGCAGAGAGCTCCAAAAACTACTCCCCTGAGGAGCCAAACCACCCCCAGCGGCAGCAGGACACTCGGAATGGAGATCAGGGGAAAATCTTACGTGGAAAAGGTGGTCAGGTGTTGGAAGGGGCTGCCCAGGGCAGGGTGCAGTCAGCCAGGGGAGTGGACGTGGCACTTGGGGACATGGGTTATGGTGGCCTTGACAATGCTGGGGGGTGGTAGGACACCATGGTCTCCAAGGCCTTTTACAGCCTGAATGACCCCACGGTTCTCTGCCCCAGCTGACTCACATCACAGCTGGAAAGCACCACCCCAATCCCGCTTTCTGCCCCCAGGTGCTGCCCCAGGTGTCCCTGTGGCCTCAGCGCTGTCCCTGTCACTCACATATCGGCTCATGCTGTCCTTCTCCTCCGCTTTCCTCTTCTTGGAGTCGATGCTGTAGTCCGTGGAGCTCCGGTGCTTCTCGCTGGCCCGCAGGCTCTCCGAGGGGGACACGGAATTATTCTGTGGGGATGGGAGAAGCTTTGAAGGGGAACAGAAGGAAACGAGGCTCCACCAGCAGCACAGCCCTGTCCCAGCAGGGATGAGACCCCCTGGTCCCCCCCATGCCACAGGATCCAGATCCACAGGGGACAGATCAACATCAGCCTTGCTGGGAGCACTGGGAATGCTGTGAGGATGCCCAGGGACACCTGAGCTCCTTTGCTGCAATAGCAGGAAAATGCAGGAGGAGGTTGTTTAAAAAAACATGTGGGCCAGGAATGGCAGAGCCCAGCACCCATGGCACAGCTCTGCTCATTGGGCATTCTGTCCTTTCCTCAAGCAGCAAAGCCCAGGACATGTCAGCATTCCCAAGAAAGCTCCAGAGCCCAGGAGTTCTCCTTCTGGCAGAGCTGGGAGCCTCAGCCAGGAGGAGCAAAGGCATGGCTGCATCCCAGCCCTGGAGCCACAGGACATCCACAAAATGTCCTGAAAAACCCACATGACCAGGAGTGCCAGTGGCACAGGGGGAATTCTGCCCTTGCTCCAAGCAGCAAAGCCCAGGAGACGCCGGCATTCCCAGGGAACAATGGAGGAAAACACGGCAGCACCACGAGGAGGATGCCTGGCCCTGATCCTGCACATTCCCTCCCCTCAGTCCCTGGGATCAGCAGGATCCATCCCTGCTCTCATCCTGCACATTCCCTGATCCATCCCCATTCTCTCCCTGCACATTCCCTGATCCATCCCTGCTCTCCCTGCACATTCCCTGCTCTCTCCCTGCACATTCCCTGCTCCCCCAGCCTGCCAGCCCCGCCGTTCCTGAGCCGTGCCCGCCTTTCTTCCCCTGCTGAAAGGGAGAACCAAAGCAGTTCATGTTTCTCCTCGGTCCCCACTAAGCAGCTTTGGATAACACGGAGCTCTTTCTTCCCAGGCAGTCATGCTGAAAACCCTCGCAGCTCCCAGAGAATCATGTCAGGCATTTAGAGGCATCGATCCATTCAGCCCCGCTCCTGGCCCGCCGCCAAGGAACTAAATATTTTTTATTGCACAGGCAAAGGCTGGGGAAAATATGAATGACTAACGCTGATTATCGCACACATTAAACCTCCACGGGGAATACCCCGGCTCGCCGTTTATGGATTGGGAAGCTGCCCGGCTCCGACGGCCCCCTGCCCGCCCCAGGAGCGGGTTAATGATGCCCAATTCCCCTCTGCCTCCCCCCTCGCAGAGCACTTCCCTTCCCCGCTCTCCAAAGGGCCGTTTGTGGGCTCGGGGCTGGCAGGAAATCGCTGCCAAGCCGCAGCTCAGCCGCCCTTTGTGTCCTGGCAGCTTTTCACACGGAATGCTGCGCTGGGGAACGAGCTCCGGGATGGCCCTGCCCCACCTGGACCCGGCCCCACCTGGTCAGCAGCACACAGAGCTGAGGGACACGTCCAGGCCCTGCCTGGACACCTGCAGGGCCTCCCTGTGCTGCCCCTTCCCACGTTTCACAGCCCTTTCCATGGAGAATTCCTCCTGATGTCCCATTTTCCCTGACACTGGGCTGGGAGGTGCTGGCTCAGCCCCATTCCAGGAGCAGGGCAGCCCCCACCTGGCTCCTGCCTCCCTCCACATCCTCTCCATCCCTGCTCCCAGGGAATCCATCCCAAGGGCAGCCTCCAAGGTAGTTCCAAAACCCAGGGATTTCCCTGGCTGGGAGCTGCTTGGGCTTCCAAGTCCCGCACAATTTGGAGAAATAACCAACCCCATCCCAGACTATGGGGGAATGATCAGGAATGAAGCAGCTCCCCTGACCACCCAGGGGATTTGGGTCTGACCACGCTCACTCAGCCCAAATGATGGAATTTCCTGATGTTCTTTGCCACAAGCAAAGGGATTTAAATCACATTTCCAAACCGCCACCACTGAGAAGGTGACTCCTCTCACGCCAGCACAGCTCTTCCAGGCAGGATGAGGGATTTTATTGCCTGGTTTATTATTTAATAAGACCTGTGCCAAAGGCAGCCCTGCAGCTCCCAGCCACCAGGTGGGTTTTTAAGGGATAAATAAAACTCAGCCAGCAGAAGGTGGGAGCAAAAGGAAGGAATGGCACTTACTGCACTTGAGTCTCGCTCTTCAGGAGATGCCAGGGCACAGGGGAGGGCACAGCCAAAACAGAGACACAAAAACAAAGCAAGTTAGGATAAGCCTTAAACCAGAAAAATAAACGCAGAACCTCCTCGTGCTCTTAAACCCTTAAACTCCAGCCCTGTCTGGGCTCTCTCCAGCTTTAGAATCATCCTCCATCCATCTCTCCCAACCAATTCCTGCCCTTTTGTCCATGTGATTTACCTGGCCAAACACAGCTGGAAACGCCCTGGATGCAAAGGGAATGGCAGCAGCCCCAGGTGTGTCCCTGGAGTCACAGCTCCACAGCCAGGAGGTGTTTCAGCCCTTCCTCTGCACCCAAACTGCCCATTTCCCCTGGGATCTCTGCAATCTGAATCCATGCAGGAAATGGAGCAGGAGCATTGCTACCCACAGTTCTGTCTCACTGCTCTTTTTCCACCCCAAATGCCCCAGCAGAGCCCAACAGCTCAGAGGGGCTGTGCGAACCTGCCCTGCCAATGGGAGAGTGGAAATATCCCAAACTCTCCTGTGCTGGTGGCCAGGGGGATCTGCCAGGACAATCCTGGTTTGCAGCTGGACCCACAGATCCTTCCATCTGCTAACAAATGCTCAGATCCCAAATAATGGGAAAAAGCACCAAGTTCCTGCTGCACAGAGCTGGATCCCTCGCCATGATGGTGATGGAGAGGAGGAGGAAGGGGAGGAGGGTGAAGGCTGCTTTCCCATTAAGGCACAGCACAGGAATTGCAGCTGGGCTCCACCAAAGGCTGAGCATCATTTTAGGGAATTCTGCATCCCTAAGAGGGCAATCCCATGATCTGAATGCAGCTGACCCAAGGGATGGGGTGGTGGGAATGAGCCACAACAGGACCAAGGTGATCCCCCAACATCTGAGGGACCTGCAGCAACTCCTGAGGAGGCCACAGAGCTACTCCAAGGGCTGGGAGAGCTGGGGACGTTCACCTGGTGAAGGAAAGGCTCCATGGAGAGCTCAGAGCCCCTTGCAGGGCCTGAAGGGGCTCCAGGAGAGCTGGAGGGGGATTGGGACAAGCCAACCTCACAGCAGGGCCACCGTCTCATCCAACTCATCTCTGCAGCCCTATTCTCCACAATACCAGCAGTTTCACTCCCAACTCTCCTAGTTCTCTTCTTACTCACTATCCTAGAGGGATTGGGACAAGGGACAGGAGAGCAGGAATGGCTTCATAGTGGAGAAGTGGAGATTTGGGTGGGATATGGGGCATGAATTGTCCTCTGTGAGAGTGGTGAGACTCTGGCACAGGTGGCACAGGGTGCCCAGAGCAGCAGGATCCCTGGCAGTGTCCAAACCCTGTTTTGTGGAGGTAATCAAAACTCTACAACTTTGTGAAAGCTGTAAAGCCAGTATGTTTGTTACAGCGCTGGATGCATGTGGGAATCGTTCCCCTAAAATGACAAGTGTACCTCTGGGAACTTCGGGTCCCTTTTTATCCCCCTCTCAAATACATATGCATGCAATTTCACAATAGGTTCATACATATTCATTTTTATGAATTTTGCGTGACATTTGCCGCTAGTTCTTCTTTATCAGAAAGAATTCCTGGGTCAGGCTGACCTGCTCTCACAACAGTTTGTATCTCCCTTTATCACCTTCTGTCTCCCCCCTCCTCATCTTTGTCCTTCACTGAATCAGTTTCCCTGAGCCCAGGCCTTGCAGTCAGGCTACATAGCCATGTTTCCTTAAGCACAGTACATTTCACCTAAACCAAAACTGATTTCTACTCTGGAAAATTTTCCCTTTGCCCCAACCCAGCTCGGAGCCCCCCGGTGCCACTTTTAACCTTCCCACCCACCCACCCCACGGCTGTGGCAGCTCCAGCCTCCCCCCTCCTCACCTCTGTGGTCCAGGTCGTGGTGGTTCTTCTCGTCCTTGACGGCCAGGTGCGCCTGGCTGCCCAGGGCGCCGAGGGCCAGCAGCCCCGAGCTGGTGCCGGTGACGGGCGGGAGGCCGGGCGGCTGCAGCCCCGACGGGTGCGGGGGCAGCTGCACCGGGGGGCCGTGGGCGGCGTGGGACAGGTGCTGGGCCTGGAGCTGCTGCTGCTGCAACGAAAGCACCGGTGAGCTGGGGGGGAACGGGACAGGGGCGATGGAAAGGGATGCTCCGGGATGGGACGCGCCGGGAGCGGCCCCGCTGGATGCCTGGAAGGAGAAGCCCCGTTAGCAGGAGGGCACAGGTGCCCAGGGGTGAGCAGGAGGGCACAGGTGCCCAGGGATGTGCCCAGGGTGAGTAGGAGGGCAGAGGTGCCCAGGGATGTACCCAGGCCTTACCAGGGGGACAGAGGTGCCCAGGGGTGTCCCCAGGCCTTAGCAGGAGGCACAGGTGCCCAGGGATGATCCATGTGGTTAGCAGGAGGGCAGAGCCACCCAACCATGTCCCCAGGGGTTAGCAGGAGGGCACAGGTGCCCAGGGGTGTCCCCAGGGGTGAGCAGGAGGGCAGAGGTGCCCAGGGATGTACCCAGGGGTTATCAGGAGGGCACAGGTGCCCAGGGATGTCCCCAGGACACAGCACAGCCCGTGGCAGAGCACAGCTGGTGGCAGAGCACGCACAGCCCTCTCCCCTGCGTTCCCAGAATGCTCACCCCTAAAGACATGGTTAGTTTGGCTTTTCCAGCAGCAAAAAGGATAAAAATCCCACCCAGGAGACAGAGATACACCATGGCTGGAGGGCAGCAGCTACACCAGTCAGAGGGAGGAAATTCCAGCAGCCAGGAGCCTCCCAGGCAGCTCAGCACAGGGAAGTTCTGATCATTTGGTCAGGAGCAGCTTCCAGGTGCTTCATGGGGGGAGGAAAACTCCACACAATGGCCTGGTCCCATCCCAGGACCCCGCTGCTCCCAGCCCCTTCTGAAACCAGAAATCCTGCAGGGATCCCCCATTCCCACAGTGGGGTTGGATATAACCCCCCACATCCCCTGGAGCTGCAGCCCAGCCAGGATGGCTCAGGGCTCCCAGCTGCTCCCAGGGGACTTTTGGGAGTGAATCCCACCCATCCCAGCACTCCCCCAGCCATGGAGATCCACTGCCTGCTGCAGCTGAGCTGGGAAAAGCTGAACTGCAGCTCTGGGGAGAGAAGGGAAAACCAGACACACTCCCTGCTTCACACACAGTCCTGGAAGAAAACCAGCTGAGAGCCAAGGAGCCGCTTCAGAGAGCCCCCAGGCCTGCCCTGGTGCAGCCAGGAGGGTCCTGGAGCTGTGCTCCTGCCTGGGACCCTCCTGCCCGCACCCACAGCCCCTCCTGCAGCATCCCAGGGAAATCGCATTTGGGCATCTGAGCACAACGGGAATCACGGGCTGGGGACAACCAGAACAAGGGGACAGCCTAGCTCACTCCAGGTCCCCACAAGAAATTCGGATCAGGATTTGTCCCAGGGCACTCTGAGGGGCAGGGATGGACAGCAGGACCTGCTGGCACAAGGGCCAGCCCAATGGACACCCCCAGGAACACCAAAAACACCCCTGGGGATGGAGGGATCCCCAAAACAGCACCCCCAGGGATGCAGCCCAAAACACCCCAAAACAGCACCCCCAGGGATGGAGGGCTCCATCCGTGTTCCCACCAATTCCATCAAGGAAATTTCCAGCACATCTTGCCCGGAGCTGCAGAAGGCGCACCCAGGTGCCCCTGGATCCCTGGCAGTGCCCCAGGCCAGGTTGGACACTGGGGCTTGGAGCACCCTGGGACAGTGGGAGGTGTCCCTGCCATGGCAGGGGTGGCACTGGGTGGGATTTAACCCCAAACCATTCCATGACTCCATGATAAATTTCCCCACATTAACTCCAAGTTTTGGAGGAACAGCCCTGGCCCGTTCCCGATGCAAGGAGCCATTTTGGGCAGCAGAAGGTGACGTCCTGTCCCACTCCACGGACACAGCAGATGGAGCAGGCCCTGGCTGGCTCACCCACCCCCTTCCAGAGCTGCTTTGGGATGGAGAGGGAAATCCCCATGCAGAAGAAGATTCCAGGTGGGAGCTGAGGGCAGCGCCGGGCACCGCAGGTCCATGGAAGCAGCTCTGAGATCCCAGCTGCAGCAGGAGCCACACGGAGAAGGCCATCAGGCCTCTGCTGCAGGAATCCATAAATCCCTGAGCCCTCCAAAGCAGGATTGGTTCTGCCAGCAGGATGGGAAGCATCCTCAGGACGGACATTCCACAGTGTCCCCGAACACGGAGCAGAGCTGGGGGTGAGGGGCACAAGGTTGGTCCCTCAGTGCCAGGATCAATCCTCTGGCACCAAAACAAACGGAACAGATCCCTGGGGCTCTTCCCAATCCCCATTTCACAGCATTTCCACCCATCTGAGGGAGAGGCAGGGCCATTGTAGCAGAGCAGCATCCCAGAGAACGGCCCTGGGTGGTTTTCCAGCACCTCCAACATTCCCACATTGCTCTCCTGGGAGCTCTCCGTTGGTATTTCCATATCCCATCCCTGGAACACACCAAGATCCACTGGTTTGTCCTCAGCCATCTCCAGCTTCCACAAACATCTGCAGGCTGTGACTCATTCCAGCAGCTTTCCACCCAAAAAAAGGGATGTGGCCTGGTGGAACAGCAGCACTCCAATTCCCAGGGTGTGGATGGCAATTCCAGCCCTGGAGCAGCCCAGGGCACAGCACAGCCCCACCAGCAGCAGCACCGTGGAGAGAACAATCAGCACCTGGAGCTGCTCCAGCAGAGAAGAACAAACTGGGATTTCTTCACAGGTAAATCCATCCATGGGCTCGGTGAGGAACAGCCCCTCACAGGACACAGCATCATCCCTGGTGGCCCACAGCAGCATCTCCAGGGGGGTTTGGTTTCCTCCCCTCTGGCAGCGAGAGCAGAATCCGTGTGGGATGTCCTGAAGCCCCATCCCCGTGTCCTGGGCTAGCCAAGGTCCCAAAGCAGGGCTGCAGAGCTCCATCCGTGTCCCAGGCAGGTCATTCCACGGCAAGGAGCCTGGGCTCAGCCCAGGGTGGTGCTGCAGAATTCCCAGATTCCATCCTTGCTGCACATCCCTCTGGAAACACGTCCTGGAGGCTCCCAGAGGGGGCACACAGCCCACCTGGCACTGGTGGCACAGAGCTCCTGCCTGTCCCCAGTGCCCCCTGCTGCAAAGGGCCCATCCCTCCCATTCCATCCCTTATCCCATCCCTGGGAATGCTGGGTTCCAACAGCACCACTGGGTGAGGGCTTCCTGCAGCATCCCAGGGATGGGGAGCCTCTTTGGGAACCCCAAACCCCCCTGCCCAGGCACTGAGGTCCTGCTGGACACACAAGGACAAGGGTTCGGAGCAGCATCCCAGGATCGTGGAGCGACTGAGCCCATCCACAATCACATCCCTCAGGATGCTGCCCTGGGGCTCCAGCTGAATTCCAGCAGCAGTTTGGGCTCCTCCCGTGCTGCAGGACCCCGGCAGGGAGTGATGTCCCCAGAGTCCCAGGAAACAGGGGCTGGGGAGGGATAGCAATCCCAGATATCAATCCCAGATAACAATCCCTGCACACCCAGCCCGGGGCAGCGCCCTCGGAGCTCCTCAGCGGTGTCACACAGAGATGGGGACATGGGAAGAGACTCCAAATTTGGGAGGAAGGCTGGCAGGGAGTGTCTGCTGGTGGAGTGGCTTTAATTGGATTATGTCCATCACGCTCCATGCCTTTGTTCCCGATTTAATGGTTCAGCACTTCAGTTCAGCGCCGGCGTTAAATTTAGTGACGGAGTTTAATCATTTCCAGGGCAATCATTTCCAGGGCTACAACCAAATCAAGGCTCCATTTCAGCCCAGCCTCGAGCGCAGGAGCTGAGAGACAATGGCCCAGATGCATAAAATTAACAGATCTTGACCTCAAAAGGGGCAAAAAGGAGCTTTGCACCGTTTGGGGGGGATTTGGGTGCTGCAGCATCTGCACCGGGGTGTTGGGACAGGCTAGGGACAGCGGGGACACCAGGACACCCCAGTGCTGAGCAATCCGAGCCAGGGACGTGTCCATGTGGGCAGCCCTACAAAAACAACCTGCTGAGGGCAGGGCAGAACACCAAATCCTCTGCATTTGGGGACTCGAGCTGGAGCTGCCACCCAAACCAGCTCCATGCTCCAGGAGGAGCCTGGAACCATCTCCAAAAACCATGGGAGGCCATGGAATCACCAACCCCTCAAACTATGGAATCACCATCTCCTCCTGCCTGCAGCAACCCTACAATAACAAACAACTCCATGCACAGAAGGGAGGCAAAAAAGCCCAAATCCTGTGGGTTTTGTGTCTTTGTGGGCACAAATCCTCCACCCGAACCAGTGCCATGCTCTGGGAAGAGCCTGGAATCATCTCTGAAAGCCATGGAGTCACCATCCCCTCCTGCCAGCAGCAACCCCACAGCAACCATCCACTCCATGCAGAGAGGGGAGGGAAAAAGGCAAAATCCTCTGGGTTTTCTGCCCTGCAGCAGGTGCAGGAGCACGGACCCAGCACCCAAACCCGCTCCCCATCTCTGGCCAAGCCATGGGAGGCCGTGGGACCGGTGAGCAGCAGCGTGTCCCTCCCTGCTGGGCCAGCCCAGGGGAGATGCCCGTGATTCCTCGTCAGGGAGGTGATTACAGGGCTGGGCTGGCTCTTAATGACAGCAGGGCCTCGCTGCGACCCGGGCGAGCAATTACCCAGGGAATGGGGGTCACGGGCTCCTCATGCACCTGAACTGAATTCCAGCATCTGCCACCTGCAGCAGCTCCTCTCCAGCCCCAGCCCACCCTGAGCGGGTGAGCAGCAGCACGAGGGTGCAGTGCCACCCCAAAACTCAGCTGCCATTCCTGGGGCACTTCCCAAGGGGCACCAGCCCCACCATGAGGGATCCAGCTGCTTCCTCATTCCCAAAAACTGCAGCAGCCCAGGGCACGATTCCACAGCGGGTGACACCCATAAAACACAGGAAAATGGATGGAAGAGCAAGTTAGACACAGAGAATTACAAAGATCCTTGAAGCCTACAAAGGGTAAATAGTTATTAAAAAATAAAAGTAATTATAAATGAGCATTTTCTGGGAAACAAAGCCAAAGGAGCTCTGGAGCCACCTGCCCAGGACGTGGATTGGAGAATTCGATGTCCCAGGGATTGCTGCAGGACCAAGGCGGTGACAGCAGGTACAGAAACGATCAGAATTGTTAATTTTCAATCAGAACCCCTCAATCTGTGCGGGGAAAGGGTCAATGCATGGAACAACAACTCCAGCCGAGGGCACAGCACATTGCACACCAACAGCCCAGCAGAGACAAGCCTGGCCTCAGGGGCTGGGGAGGCTCCCACCCCAAATCCCCCCAGGAACATCCCCCTGCAATCTGGAGCTGCCAGGGAGCAGCTGTCCTGATGGGGGCCAGATTGGGGCAGTTTTGGGGTTCTGGGACAGCCAGGAGCTGAGATTGGGGCAGTTTTGGGGTTCTGGGACAGCCAGGAGCTGAGATTGGGGCAGTTTTGGGGTTCTGGGACAGCCAGGAGCTCTGGGATTGGGGCACTTTTGGGGTTTTGGGATGGCTGGGGTCCGGGAGCCGCCCGGGGTGCCCTCCTGAGCGCAGGGTTGCCTCTGGATATGGTAAATGATAGGAATAAAAGGGGAATACACACGGTGAGAGGCAGATTGGGAAGTCCACGTACCCCGATGATAGCATTCAACTCCGTCATTGTCACTTGCTTGGCACGCTCAACAGCCTGGGCCACCTGCTGTTGGTGCTGCGGGGACACAGGGCCTGGGTCAGCCACAGCCCAGCTGCAGGACCCCCCAGGCATGGGTCCCCTGCTTTTGGGCCCTATTTTTCCCGTTTTCCCCTAAATTTTTGCCCATTTTTCCCTAATTTTTGCCCATTTTCCCCTAATTTTTTTGCCCATTTTCCCCCAATTTTTTGCCCATTTTCCCCCAATTTTTTGCCCATTTTCCCCTAAATTTTTGCCCTATTTCAAGTGCAGCAGCCCAGGAGCACCTCCCAGTTCCTCAGGGAAAAGGAGAAGCCCCTCGCAGCCTTTTGGGCTCAGTGCAGCCCCCCCAGGCTGAGCAGGGCCCAGCTCTGCCCATCCCAAGGGTTCTCCAGCATTCAGGCAGGATTTAAATCCCATTTCTCACATCCAACCCCCACCCAGGGGCCCAGCACTGCCTGTGAGGGAGGGGAAACCCCTGGGAGAAGCTGCACCCCCCCAAAGAGGGTGTGGAAAAAGTCCTCACTTACCTCTTGTGACAGAAAAGGCATGATCTGGGCTAAAATCGTGTTCAGTCTTTTAGCAATTTCTGTCTGAAAAAAGGGAAGAAGGAAAAGCAGCAGTCAGCACCCGGCAGCAGCCTCCCACGGGTGCCACGAGGCTTCCTGGCAGCAGAGCTGTGTCCCCTGCTCGTCCCTTCCCAAAATCCCCTCCCTGTCCCCTCCCAAAACACCCTCTCTCTGTCCCCTGCCACTGATCCTCTCCCTGTCCCTTTCCAAAATCCCCTTTCTGTCTCCTCCCGAAGTCCCTTCCCAAAATCCCTTCTCTGTCCCCACTCCCTGTCCCTTCCCAAAGTCTCCTCTCTGTCCCTTTCCAAAATCTCCTCCCTGTCCCCTGTCCCTTCCCAAAATCCCCTCTGTCCCTCCCGGCAGAGGCACTGGGACCCCCTCAAGCTCCCCAGCCCAGGGACACTTCCCTGCCTCCCTGGGACACCTCCATGACAGCCCTGGATGCACCAACCCCTGCCAGCTGCACCCTGATGGGGCTAAACTGGGGGAAAAACCCCAAAGGACACCCAGCCCTTGCTGGGGATGGCTGGGACACGCTGCTCCCGCCACACAAACAACCCAACAAGCACCATCAACGTTCCCAGTGGCACCAGGGAATGGAGACACGGGGAAAATCCTGATCTGCCCCAGCATGGAGGGAACAGCCCCACAGACCCCAGAGCTCTGGGTTCTGCTCCAAGGGGTCCTCACAGAGCTCCCCATGGGCTGCAAAGCCACAGGAACACTCCTGGCCATCCTGCTCTCCTGAAACACTCCTGGAGATTGGGGTACACCTGATGCTTTCTCAGGAATTAGCTCTGTGGGAGCTTCCAGGGATGCTCCTGGTGAGGTGACCATGTCCCACTGCAGGGATGGCCGTGTCCCTCTCCAGGGATGTCCCCAGCAGGACGGCCGTGTCCTGGCTCCCAGGGGTTAACCCAGGCTGCTCCTGGCCGAGGCAGCTGTGAAAACAGCTCCAGCTCCAAGTCAAACACGGCGGAGCGGCCGCGAGGATGCAGCGCCACAACAATGGCCGGGGCCGAGCGCTGGCGGGGAATCAAACGCCCCGAAATTCCTTCCGCCAGCCCCAGCAGCTCCTTATCAACAGCACGAGTGATTAACCGGGAGAGCTCCGGCCTCCTGCTGGCAGGGAGCCTCCTGCCCGGGACAGCCAGCCCTGCTCCCAAAGCCCCGTGCTCCCCACAGCACCCCAAATCCACCCTGCGGATCACACAGCTCAGCTCCTACAGAACCTCTGGGCTTTCGGCCCAGCCAAACCAAAGGAGCCCTCAGCTCCACCTGCTCTCAAGCACCCCAAGGAAGATCCCTAAATATCCTAATTTGGGAGAGAAATCCCAATGGACAGCAAGTCCTTGCTGGGTGTCACTGCTCCTGCTACACAAACAACACAACAAGCACCATCAACATTCCCAGCAGCACCATAAGCGAGGAAACACCGGGAAAATCCTGACCTGCCCCAGCCTGGAGCCATCCCCATAGAGGGAACAGCCCCACAGACCCCAGAGCTCCGGGTCCTGCTCCAAGGGGTCCCCAGAGAGCTCCCCATGGGCTGCAAAGCCACAGGAACATCCTGGCCATCCTGTTCTCCAGAAGCACTCCCGGTGATTGGGTTACACCTGATGCTTTTCTTAGCAATTCCAGAGGCAGGGAACGTGCTGGCACACCGTGCCAAGGCAGGGACGGCTGGAAGTGACCACGGCTTGGACTCAGGTACCCTGGCCACAGCCACCAGCCAGTGGGATCAGCGTAGCCCCGAGCGTGAGGATGCACGGATCCAGCAGGCAGCCGGGGATCATGGACTCCTGGAACAGTTTGCTCAGATGGGACTTCAAAGCTCATCCAGTTCCACTCCCTGTGCACCTTCTAGGAGCCCAGATTGCTCCGACCTGGCTTTGGACTCTTCCAGGAATGGGGCAGTCACAGGCACCAGTGTCCCAGCCCCCTTCCAGGGAAGGATTCCTTCCCAGTATCCCACCTGTCTGTCCCTGCCCTCGGCACAGGGAAGCCACTCCCTGTGTCCCATCACTGCAGGGACACTGCCACGGTGACACCATCCCCAGCACACCGTTTTCAGCACCCAACACTCCCACAACACCCGGGCTGGAAGCTCCAAGTGCCAAACCCAGCCCAGCCCTGGCGTCGTGGCTGAGCAGCCAGGCTGGCACCACGAGTGCCACCAGCCCCCGCGGTGCCACCGCCGTGCCCTGCCATGGGAAAAGCTCCTTCCAGGCTCTTTGGCACTGGCACTTTGATCAGATTATATTTAGCTGCAGCTGCATTAAAGATTTATTCCTCCAGCTCCAGCCCTTGGATTGGGATGCAGCGAGTGCAGCCGCTGCTCCAGGAGCTCTGCCCTGGCAGCTCCCGGGTTCTAGAACAAATCTGATCCATGTCTGAGGGGACAACACCAGCCAGCCTCCCTCGGCTGCACCCTGGAAAAACACAGCGTCCAGCCAGGCTGATTCCATGGAGCAGGAAGGGAAGGAGCTGGGTTTTCCCCAGACCAGCAGCACACGTGATGCTTCCACCTCTAAATGCAAAATTTCCAAGCGAGACGTGAAGCCAAACTCCCCGCTCCACACAGAAAGAGACTTCCCCACGTGGGATCAGGCACAGAGATATTGGATGTCCAAAATATTATGTTTACAACCGTCAGGTTTCCTGTGAACACGAGATTCAATCGTCTTTAAATATTTGCTCACTTTCCCTCTTCCCATTCCCTGGCACATTAAACTCCAGTTGTTCCCATTAAAACTTTAACTGGGAGGGAAGGGGATTCTCCGGAACGCCAGGAACAGGGGAGGGCTCCCTGCCCGACACCTTCCCCTTCTCAGGGCTCATCCATCACCTTGCCCAGCGCCCCGAGCCCCACCTCAGCTGCTCCTGCCAAGGAAAGCTCCATTCCCACCGCGGGTTGCCATGGCAATCCCAGCTCCGCATCCCCTTCCGCTGCCCTGCATCCTCCCTGGACCAGGGCGCATCAGACACAAGGAGGGGGCACGGGAGAGGCTCCCAAACACCTCCTGGCTGTTGAAAAGGGCAAGGAGTCGGGGGGAGCTGCAATCCCAGCTAATCCCCCCTCGCTGCGTGCCCCTGCCAGGAATGTGCCCTGCTCCCTGCCCGGAGCCTCCCGGCGTGGGGTGTCAGCGAAACCAGAGAAAACATCTGCACCGGTGATAAATCAACACGGCCCCAAATGAGGCTCCTGTCACCTGCTCTCCAAACGGCCAGAGCCACCAGCAGCATCCCAAGCACTCGGGGACGCGGGGAGCTGCTGCTGGCACTGCCTGCGAGAGGCGGCAGCTCGGCGTTGAATAGCTGGGGCTGGCTGGGCCCCGCAGCTCCTGCACTCCCATCCCCACACCTGGATGGGGCAGAGGGAGTTTAAAAATAACCCCCCGGATGTCAGCCATGGCAAAGCAGCCTCAAAACTGACCCAAAAGCTGCGATGCAGAGCTGCAGGCTGGGGGGGACACCCCAGACAGGGCACTGGGGATGCTCCTGGTGCCAAACTGTCTACGCTTGGGATGTCCAGGAGGCAAACGGGAGCTGCAGGATGTGCCAGACATGGGGTGACCCCACCAGATAGATCCCAGCATCTCCCCCATGGCACAGGACAGGACACAGATGCCTCCTGGGCTCCCTGCTCCTGGGAGGATGGAGCTGTCTGCAGGGACCAGCCCCACAGGCATGGCTCAGCATCCCAAAACACCCTGCACAGGACACCCCAAAAAACCCCAAACAGCAGAGAACACCCCAAAAAAAACCTGCACAAGACAACCCCAAAAGCCCCTGCACACATCACACAGCCCTCAAGCTCTCCCCCACATGGAAAATATTCTCCGTGGGGAAGGGAACCCCACCAGGCCATGGCAGGTGGAGATTTTGGGCCACGCCAGCCCCAAGTCCAGCCTGCCCTTGCTGCTGGGTTTATGCTGTGGGATGAAGGATGGGGAGAAGGTGCTGAACACAGAACACTGCACAACACCCCAAAACATCCCTACTTATAGCCTCAAATCCGGGAATCTCCAGAGGTGGGTGCTGAACACAGAACACCCCAAAACATGTATAACATACTTATTTCCTCAAATCCAGGACTCTCCATAGGTGGGAGGGAACGCCAGGATTACTCAAGGCCCTGCACAGACACCCCACCAATCCCACCCTGTGCCCCAGAGCGTTGTCCAAACGCTCCTGGAGCTCTGGCAGCCTCGGGAATGCGACCATTCCCTGGGAAATAACAATTCCACCTATAGGGCGCCCTAAACCCCTGCGGGGGCTGCAGGAGCACAGCCCCAGCACAGCTCCCATTCACAAATCCCCAACCTTCTCCCCATCTCCACAGCACAAACAGCCCGCGGTGATTCCCCAGAGGCTCTGCACCCCACAGCCCCCTGCAGACCCCCCCAGAGCCCCCTCCCCCGGCAGGAGGAGGAGTAAATCACACGAGGCGTGAAGCACCAGCAGCATTTGTTGAAACCAGGATATTGTCTCTTTAAGCACATGAAAATCAGGCCCTTGAGCAGTGTGGTTCTCACTCGGGCGCACAATTATGGGTACTTTCAGCTGTCTACCACTATTTCAAGTGCTCTCTCCAAGCGGGCTGTCAATGGCATGTTGAAAGCTATTTGTGGCTGCTATCGTTATTAGCAAAGTGGAGAGCCTGGCTGATGAGAATTAAATTCAGGGCGGGGGTGTGGAAGGGCAGGACACAGCCCCTCATTAGGGAATTACCACCAGCCATGGGGTAAAGCTCGCAGAGACCCCCAAAACTCAGCCGGGAGCCCCCAAAATTCACCCAGGAACCCCCAAAACTCAGCCAGGGGAGAGAGAATTCCCCTCTGCCTTGGGAGTGCTGAGAGCACAGCTCACAAATTACCCGGCTTCTGAAGTATTTAGCAAATTATTACCTGGCACTCCTTGCTAACAAGCACGACAGAAAGGATATTGTGTTCCTGGAATATTCTAGAAATGCACACACACAAAAAGCTGCCTCTCTCCCCTGGAAGTGTTGGGGGGTTCAGGCTCGTTCCGAGCATTAGGCAGGGAAACAAGAAGCGCTTCTGTGGAGCGTTCTCAGCCATAACAAGGAACCAAAGGCAGCACAAAGGTTCTGTCCTCCGAGGTGTCCCGTTTCCCCACGCAAAATGAGTTTTCCTTTTGGAATGGTTATTGCCCTCGGCGATTATCCACGGGGATCTGCACAGAGACAATGCGCGGCCGACAGGGGAAGGGAAGTTTCTTTTGGAAAAATCAATTAACCCGACCGAAAAAAAAAAAAAAAGGAAAAAAAAGTTTTGTCGGGGTTTCAAAAGAAAACTCCTGATTGGAGCCGGGTTTAGGAAAGCTGAGCCCGGGGAAGGAGTCGAGTTCAGCAGGAAGACTGATGTAAGGAGCAATTCACTGCAACCGACTGGGGAATCACTTCCTAAATATTTCCTTGCATATGGAGTTGTTTATGAAACTCCGTTTTTTTTCCTAACGAGAAACAAAAACGAGAAGAAAGAGGGGGGAAAAGGGAAAAAAAAAAAAAAAAGCCCAACCCCACACGCAGCCACATATGCACACACTTAATATTCAGCGTGGAAGAGATAATCTGTTATATAAGCCCACAGACAGACAATCCCCTTTTGCTTAAAGATGAAGTATCCATCAATGTTTGTCTGGAGCAGATGTAATCACAAGCAGTCAAGTCTGGAGGGCAGGACACTGCATGAATAATTCAAGCACTTCAGTCTACTTGATTGTGTGCAGATAAACACAAGTCAACCGCTAAACAGGTCAGCTGATAAACTTGTTTGTTCAGGACCAGCCACCCTCAGCCAGATGCCGGCAGGACCACGCCGCAATTAGCGGGATGCCTTGCGGGATGCCCGCCGGGGGGATGCTGCCCAGGGATGCCGCCCAGGGGATGCTGCGGCCCGCGGAGGGGGGAAAGCCCTGCCCGGGCTCCCCCTCGCCCCGTTTGCGCCCGCAGCCCGGGCTGCTTTGTTTGTTTGCTGTCAATTAGAGAGGGAGACGGCTCCGGCTTCCCCCGCCCGGCTCCCGGCAGCGGGCACGCAGCAGATGGCACCGGGCAGCACGGCCCGGGCGGGCACGGGATGCTGCGGGAATGGCTCGCACGGCTCCCGGCAAAGCGGGCACCGGGAGCCACCGGGACAGGCGGGGACCGAGCCACACCGGGAGTTCTGCGGCTCCCGGGGCAGCCCCGAGACCCCCGCGGCACACGGAGGAGGGGCTGCTCCACCCGCACCTCCCAGCGCTGCCAAACTCGGGATGCACCCGGGGAAAACACTGGGGAACGTCTTGGGAATGGCATCTGCCAGCGAGGGAACCAACCCAGCATCCCAGAGCGTCATTCCAGCATCTCCCAGCGAGGGAACCAACCCAGCATCTCCCAGCGAGGGAACCAACCCAGCATCTCCCAGCGAGGGAACCAACCCAGCATCTCCCAGCGAGGGAACCAACCCAGCATCTCCCAGCGAGGGAACCAACCCAGCATCTCCCGGCGAGGGAACCAACACAGCATCTCCTGGTGAGGGAACCAACACAGCATCTCCCAGTGAAGGAACCAACACAGCATCTCCCAGTGAAGGAACCAACCCAGCATCTCTCACGCCATCATTCCAGCATCTCCCAGCGAAGGAACCAACCCAACATCCTGGGGTGTCATTCCAGCATCTCCCAGAGCAGGAACCGACCCAGCATCTCCTAGGCCATCATTCCAGCATCTCCTGGTATGGGAATCAACCCAGTATCTTGGAGAGTCATTCCAGCATCTCCCCTAGCATTCCAGAGCATCATTCCAGTATCTCCCAACGAGGGAACCAACCCAGCATCTCCTGGTGAGGGAACCAAGCCAGCATCCTGGAGTGTCATTCCAGCATCTCCCCTAGCATCCCAGGCCATCATTCCAGGATTTCCCAGCGAGGGAACCAACCCAGCCTCTCCCAGGCCATCATTCCAGCATCTCCCAGCACCGAGCAGAGCCATCCAGCACCCAGGTAGGAGGAGGGTGGGCACAGGAGACCCTCTGCCCCAGGAGCCTGGGCTGGGGTCCCTCCAGGTGACCCCCGAGTCCCCCAGGTGCTGCTGAGGTGGCCGCGGGCTCCGTGTCCCTGTGGCCACACCAACGCCGTCCCCTCCGGGCAGGAGGCCGGGCCTAGCCCCCAATCCCCAATTTTGGGGTGTTCCTGAGCACCCCAGCCCAAAGCTCCCCCGAGCTCGGGGGTCCCGCAGCCCCCGCACAAGGACCCCGGGGGCGGGCAGCGGCCCCCGAGCGCAGAGTCGGGATTATCTGCGTGGAAGGAGATATTTATATAAAACTGAAGACTAAGCAGGAATTATTTTCGCTGCCCCGTGACTACGGCGCAGCAAGGCGAGGGGAGGAAGAGAGAGGCGCATTCAGAGACGCTGCTTTGCATCTCATCAGCGCCCTGCGAGCCTCCGAGGAGGAGGAGGGCGATGCCGCTATTAAGCCAAACCACTTTGGAGTTGAATGGGGCTGATTTGCGAGCGGCAAAGTTGATGTCAACTTCTATCTGCCCTAAGTTCTTAATTAGAACTCCTTCTAAAACCAGTAAGCAGCAGCAGCACAAATAATCAGGTCTAATCTCAATAATAACTTTATTCCTTTAAGTTTTACCATCATGTGCGCAGCCTTTAGGCTCTTTACCGATAATCTTATCAAGGTAGCACACCACATTCTGCTGGGGCCTTCTCTATTTTTTCCTTCAGGCAAGTTACACATTAGAGAAGACTGGAAGGGAGGGGTAAAAAAAAAAAAAAAAAAAAAAAGCCAACAAAACCAAAACCCCAACCAGCCCCAAACATTGCTTCACTTCCCAGATGCAAAGACAAGTCCGTGCCATTGAGCAACACACGGTGAGCTCTGGAGATAATTCCCGGCTCGGTCTCACGCTCCGGCAGGGCCGGGAGCAGGGGATGACCTTACAAACAGCCCTGCTGTACCCACAACACGAGCAGAGGCCGCCGCAGCAGCCCCTATCAGTGTTTTCCAGGCCTTGGGAACGCGCTATTCCAGGTATTGACCTCCCCGCACGGGAGGCGAGGCTGTTCTCACCTCCCTGCATAAACACTCTGCCTAAAACCGAAATTCCTCGCGAGTATCGACGAAATAACCCCACCGAGTGCCATCAACCTGCGGCTGCCAATTTAACAGCCGGGCCGCGGGATCCCACCTGGAGTCACATCCCTGCCTCCAGCACTTATTCCCTATTTAGTGCAATCAGGGCCGATTTTACCTCAGGTGGAGGAAAAGGGCAACAGGAGATCAATCAATCACAACTTCCCCCCTCGAAATTACTCACCTGTTTGTGCATTTCAATATTCAAACCGTACGACATTTCGTAGTACTGGGGAAGGAGAGAAAAAAAAATAGAAATAAATTCAATTAAACACCAGAGCCAAGGAGAATTTGAATTCAATTCACAGAAGGCATTTGCATAAGGTCATTACCAAAAAGCATCCTGGGCAAAACTGGGCTTAAAGCACGGGTAGCCAAGGAAATTACACCTTATAATAAGCAGATGTTTATGGGTTTAACTGGCAGGCACTTAACGAGGGGACACTCCTTTTGACTCCTGTTTTCTCCTCCTAAGCTACTTAGAAAAACAAAGAGGCGCAGAGCTGGGTGACAGGCGTCTGCTCAGCCCTGGCAGAACAGGTACAGCCCGGAGTCTGGCCAAAAACCCAGCTTCTCACCGGGGGGGGGGTGATTTGGTGATTTGTCCCCCCCCAGGGCCCAGGGGAGCGGCCGGGAAAGGGGGTGCAGGGCCCGGCCAAACCCACCGGAACCCCCAAGGAGCCCACCCGGGGGCCCGCCATGCTAATTTAGCTTTAAACAGAGCGTTTTGTGGCAACAAAAGTGCCCATTTCCCTCGGGAAGGATGAACGGGAGCGGGGGAGGAGCTGCCAGGGCTCCCGGGTGGCCTCGGGGCAAGAACTGGGGGGACCCCCACCAGCACCGGGGATCCCCCCCGAGCTCGGGGTCACCGCTGCAGCCCCCCCCGCGGCCGCAGCCCCGCTCCAAAGGGGTTAACAGGAAACTTGGGATGGCGCTCGCAGCCCCTGGGGCTCGGAGCGCCGGGCACCGCCGCCCCCCCGGCCCGGGGGTCCCCGGGCAGGCGGTGCCCGTGCCAGGGGGGGTTCCCCCGGTCCCCCCCGTTCGCAGGCTCGCAGCTAATGACATTTGCAGGCTGATCCGAAATCTGATTAAAGTCTCTCACCATAACGTAATGGCGCTGCATTTCGGTCTTCTCGTTCGCCAGCTTGTCATACTCCACTTTGAGGCTGGGGGGGGGATGAGAGCGCACGGTGAGACCCCGCGGAACCGGGGGGCTCGGGGCGGGGGGGGGCGGCCGGGGGTGCCCCCGGGCTCACCTGTGGTACTGGGCCTGCAGGAACTGGAACTCGTCCTTGATCCGGTCGCAGGACTCGGCCACGGTGAATTTGAAGCCCGGTTGGCCCGGCTGGTGCGGAGCCTGCGGGAAGCGGCCGCGGGGGTTACCGGGGGGGTTACCGGGGAGGGGGGGGGGGCGCAGACCGGGGGGCGGCGGGGGGTACCGGGACTCACCGGGTGCCGGCCCTGGGGGTACATGGCCGGGCTGGGGCGCGGTCACTGGAAGCAGCCGCGCCGAGCCTCGCTACGGCGATCGCGACGTGCGGAGCTGCCGCTGCTGCCCGCCGGCCTCGGAGCGCTCCCGGAGAGGCCGAGAACTGAACAAAGGGACGAGAGGAAAGTCCGTGCGGGGGGCGGAGGAGGGAGGGCGGAGGGGTGGGGGGGGGAGCGGGCCCGGCCGGTTCCCCCCCGCACGTTCCCCCCCCCAGCCCGGCCCCGCACCGCCGGGGAGGCGCCCGCGGAGCCGAGCCCAGCCCCGCAGCGCCGGGGCCAGGTGCCGACCCCCCCGGCCGCCGCGCTCCGCGGGCCTCCGCTTCCTCACCCCCCCCTCCTTCCGGCACTCGCTGGCGGAAAATAAAAAAATAAAAAAAAAAAAAAAAAAAAAAAGGAGAAAAATCAAACCCCCCCCCTCCCCGGAAAAAAAAAAGGAAAAAAAAAATAGATCAAAAAGCCACAGCGACAACAACAACAACGCGGCGGCGGGAGGAGGGTCCCGCGGTATTCCTGCGGCCGGGAGAAGGGGAAGCAAAGCCAGGAACTAACGCCGGAGCACGACGGCCATGGAGGAGAGGAGGAGGGGGAGGAAGGCCGTACACATCCGACTTCCCGGGCGCCGCGGACATGCGAGGTGCGAGCGGGTCCCCCGCCCGGGGGCGGCCGTTCAGCTGCGTCCAGCCGGGATCGCCGTAACTCCGGGAGCCATCGCGGAGCGGGCGCGGAGCGGGGCAGCGGCGCCCGAGCACGCGGTGCCGCCACAGCGCCCGGGCGGAGCGGGGCGGCGGGCGGGGGACAAAACCCGGGCGGCCTCGCCGCCGACAGCCAATCGCAGAGCGCCGCGCCCACGTGGGGCCGCGGCCGGCGGGTGCTGATTGGGCGGCGCTGGCGTAACGTCACAATGGCAGCTTGTGTCTGACGGAGGGGCGGCCGACAGCCACGCCCACCGCGGGCCCCGCCCCGCGCAGGCCCCGCCCCGCCCCGCGCCCCCCGGCCCGGCCGTGACTCGGGCCCGGCGCTGCCGTAACCCCGGCTCCGGCGGGCCGGTTCGGGCGGTAAAACAAACATGGGCGCTTTGGCAGCGGAGCGCCTGCGCTCCGCACCGGGAAAGGGCTCGGTACGAGCCCCCCGCACCGGCGGGCGGCGGCAAGGCCGCCCAGCCTCCCCCGGCGGCCGCGCGGCCTCTTTGATGTGTCGTGAGGGCCGCGCTGCTCCCCCTCCGCGCCTCCCCTCACGCCTGAGGGGCTTTAACGAGGAACACGGGTAATGGCGTTAACGTCAGACCCTCCCGCCGCGCCCGCGGGACACCCGGCTGCGCCCCCGGGGGGGACTCCGCGGCCGCCGCAGCGGAGCGGGAGCAGCCCCGGTCCCGGCGGGCCGGAGGGAGCGGGGCCGCAGCACCGGCGGCCCCACGGGCGGGCCGGGCCCGGCCCAGCGCACAAAATGGCCGCTCGCCCGCGCGTCAGACGGAGCCTCCGCCCCACGTGGGGCCTCGCGCCGCTCAGCGGCTCTCTTCCAATCAGGGCGCGGAGCGGGCCGCCGCTCCAACGCTATTGGCCGGGCGGAGCGGCGCTGTCAATCAAAGCCACGCGGGGCCGCCGGCGCGCAGCCCCCGCCCGCCATGGCGGCGTAATTAGCCCGGGCCGGCGCTTCCTCCAGCTCAAACAATCTGTCACCGCCGAGCCGGGCGGGCCGCGGCACCGCCGCGATCTCTGCGGCAACGCCGCGCCTCGCCGCGCTCTCGACAAGAATGAAACGCCGCCGCTTAAATAACAAACAGGAACGGGCAAAGCGCCCCGAACGCCGCCCCGCTCCTCGCTCGCCGGCGCGGGGGTGCGAGCGCCCCGCTGACCCCCGGGTGCGGAACGGGGGTGCCCCGGACCCCCCCTCACCCCCCCGCCCGCCGCTAATTGGGCGCGTTCCGGTTGTTGACGTGACGAGCGCTGTCAGCGCCCGCCGCTGCCCATTGGCTGCCGCCGCCCGGCCACGCCCCTGCCCCACGTGGGGCGCGGCCGGAGCGCCGCAAAACGGGGAGCGGATCGAGCGCGGAGCGGAGTCACCGTGCGGCCGCTGCCCCCGCAACCTTCCCGCCGCCTCCGCCATTCCCAGCTCCTCCCAATTCCCTCATTTTGCCGCTTTCCGGCTTTTTTGGGGGGCTTTTCCTCTGTCGAGGCAGCGGCTCTTTGTGAATCCCCTGCACTGCACGGGGTACATCGGGGTGATGTTGGGGGATCCATTGGGGTACCCACAGGAACACCCATCGGGGTGGTCATTGGTTGTCCCTTGGGGTGTCCATCCCTTGGGCTATCCATTGGAGGACCCATCAGGACGGACATTGGGGTATCCATCCCTGGAAGTATCCACAGGGGCCCCCATCAGGATGGACATTGGGGTGTCCATTGGGGTTCCATCCCTTGGGGTATCCATTGGAACACCCGTCAGAATGGACATGAGGTTGTCCATCCCTTGGGGTGTCCATTGGAGCACCCCTCAGGATGGACATTGAGTGTCCATTGTGGTGTCCACCGGGATGTCCACTGGTGTCCCTCAAGTGACCCATCAGGACCCCATCGTGGAGCAAATCTCCCCCGTCAGGCAGATGCTGGGGCTGGGATAATGTGGGAGCACAGCTCCCCGAAGCACTCGGAGCAGGAGCAGCTCCCGGAGGTGCCGGAGAAACAACAAGAATGGCAAGGAGCAAGCCTGGAAACATTTGCGATCCTTATTCCCCCTACAAAGTGCCCTCTCTGAGGGGGCCCGAGGTGACAGGTGTTTGGTGGGGGGGCGTGGCCAAGCTCCCGGTGTCACACACTGCCATCGCTCCCAGGACATCCCAAAGCACAGGGATCAGCACCTGGAATCCTCCCCTTGGGCAGGGATTGGGGAATTGGGACACGCTGCCCTTCCTCAGCACTCTGCCCTTCTCCCAGCTCATTCCTGGCAGGAAAGGGGGGATTGTCCCCCTGAGACCTCACTGGATCCCAACATCCGAGGGACCTGGAGCTGCTGCAGCAATTCCTGAGGAGGCCACGGAGCTGCTGCAGGGCTGGAGCCCCTCTGGAGCCAGGCTGGGAGAGATGGGGATGTTCCCCTGGAGAAGGGAAGGATCCAGGGAGAGCTCAGGGCCTGAAGGGGCTCCGGGAGAGCTGGAGAGGGGACAAGGATGGAGGGACAGCACACAGGCAATGGCTCCCAGTGCCCGAGGGCAGGGATGGATGGGAGATTGGGAATTGGGAATTCCTGGCTGGGCTGGAATTCTGCCCAGTCCTCACTCTGTGCCCCCTGAGCTGGAAAATGTGGAAAAGGGGGTGATTCCCGTGGTGGGGCTGAGCCAGACTCTCTGTCCCAGGGACTTTCCGGGGCCCGACTCGGGGGACGTGAGGCCACTGGGAGAGGAACAGAAAGCGGCGATTTTGCTCTGAAAATTCACTTTATTGCTCAAAATAGAAGCCATTAGCTGGGCTGTGCCCCTCCCCCTGTGGTACTTATGGACAAATTCTGATTTTTACTTAATGGTTTCCCTGAAAAGGTTGTAATTTTCTTCCCATTCCCATCGAGCCGCAGCTCCAGCGCTGTTGTGGTGAACTCCAAGGGCCGAGGATGGCTCTGTTAATTGATATTCCTCATGCTGGGACTGCGCTGAAGGAGGAGATGTTTTATTTTAGCTTATTAAAACTCACCTGGTTGGGAGAAAGAAAAAAATCAAAAGAACGATTAGGGGTGAAAGGAAACGTTCTGGTTCATATTGATTTAAGGTCTGCTTAAATTGATATTTGCACATCCCAATTAGAAACCCGTGATCTTTTCCCAGAACTTATTTCTCTTTTTTCCCGAGTTGGGTTTTCTTTTTCTTAGGAAGGATTTTGGGAGAAGCCTCAGAGGGAGAAGCTGCTGTGTCCCCTCCCAGCTGGCCTCGAGTGTGGACACCAGTGGGGACACGGTGTCCCCCTGTCCCGAGGATGGAGCCCCTCCAGGTGGGGGTGAGGATGAGGATGAGGATGAAGGCTTTGAGTGGTGCTCAGTGTCACCATCGCAGCGCCGTGCAAGGAGCAGCTCCCCATGGGATGGTGTCCCCATGGAGAGCAGGGTTGGGGGTTTGGGGACGATGTGGGGATGTCGCAGCTCCGAGGGTGGCCCTGTGAGGTGGCACAGCCAGGAAGGGAAGCTGGAGATGTTCCCTCTGCACATCCGGGGAGAAACCTCGGGCTCAGCTGCCGGGCACGGGGTGTTGTGACACTTGGTGACGCCGTCCTGTCCCCAGCAGCCTTTCGGGGAAACCGCCCGAACTGCCCTTCCTTCCCCTTCCCCTTCCTTCCCTTCCCGAAACCCCTCTGTGGGACCAGCCCCTGTCCCCATCCTCCCTGCACTGCCGCTGCCGCTGCCACCCCCGGGGGTGTCACAGCCCCCCAAACCCAGGGGGGACACGAGGGAGGGAGAATCCCTCGGGATGAGGGCAGGGACTTTGGGAAGGGTCCGAACATCCGCACAGCCACCGCCACCCCCTCATTCTGCGGGACACGGGTCAGGATGGGATCCCCGAAATGTCCCTGTCACACGGGACCCCTGAAACGTCCCTGTCCCATGGGACCCCCGGAATGTCCCTGTCCCACAGGACCCCCGGGATGTCCCCGTCCCACAGGACCCCCGGGATGTCCCCACGGCTTGGAAGGGCCCGCAGGTCCCGTTGCGCTGCGGGTTTGCTGCGGGGCCGCGGGGCCGGAGGCGCTGCCCGGGCGCACACGTGTGCGCACAGACACCGCTGCCAGCCGCTCCCACGTGTGTCCCCGGTGTCCCCCGGTGTCCCCTCCTCCCCGAGGCGCAGCCCGGCGTGACGGGAGCCGCCCCAGAGGTGACTTTATCGCTGACAAGGCGGTGCCAGCCCCGGTCACCGGTGTGTGTTTACACTGCAGGTGACACTATCTGCCCTCCGCGCAGGGCAGGACCCTGCCTGCCAAATCCCCTTCAGCTTGCACGTTTATCTAAACAGCGAGTGCGGAGCGGGGAGGCAGCGCGGCGCTCGGGAGCCTGCGAGCACGGAGATTTGGATATTTATTTGGATATTTGGATATTTATTTGGGTATTTATTTGGATATTTGGATATTGGGGTATTTGGATATTGGGGTATTTGGATATTGGGATATTTGGATATCGGGATATTCGGATATTTGGGTATTTGGATATTCGGATATTTGGGTATTCGGATGTTTGGGTATTTGGATATTCGGATATTTGGGTATTCGGATGTTTGGGTATTTGGGTATTTGGATAATTGGCTTTGCGGGGAGCTGCGCTATCTCTGCTCCCGACACCGTGGTTTTCCAGCTCCCCTGGCAGAGAGGGCTCAGCCCTGCGCCCCTCTGGCCCCGGGGCTCGGTGGTGGCACCGGGACGGGGCAGGAGCAGCACGCTCGCAGGGCGGTGTCCCTGCCCGTGCCCGGGGCTGGCTGAGCCCTTTGGGGTCCCTTCCCCCGGAGCATCCCGAGGTCTCCAGGCGGGTGCCGCTGTTGCCACAACAGGCCCCGATTGCGGCGGCTTTCACAAGCCCGGCTGCCCGGGCCTCGCCCTCAGCCGCGGGTTTGCTTGAGCCACGCCAGAGCCCGGCCCGGCCCGGCCCGGCCCGGCTGCTCCGCACGGCCGGGCGGCCCTGGGGGCAGCACCCCGGCCCGGGACCCCCCGGAACCCCCCGAGCCCCCGGCACCAAACCCGACACTTCTGTGCCTGGATATTCCAGCTCCAAAGAGCTGGAAGTGCAAAG